GTGCTAGAGCTTGAGTTGCCCTACTCCTGAAATAAGTTGGGCGTATATTGGCCACGGGATCTCCCTTAGACCAATACGAGCCAACGCCTCAACATTAGTATTTCAGAGTGCTGTTGGTTCTTAAGGAGAAATCTTTAAATCAGGCACGCGATTTGAGCGGTATATGACAAGGCCCACAAGTGCATGCAGCCTATTTACCACCCCCTGAAATATTAGACTGTCCCGTGACCTGTGGATTTCCCCTGTTTGTGGTAGGTTATTATTAAAGTACCAAAACACTACCTACCCTACCCCATTAAATGTTTAGGCAAACATCTTCCAGGGTCCACTGACTGAAGAACACTGCACTAAAACAAATGCTTAGCGAAGATTGAGTTAAATGTACTTACTCCCCTCCCGTGTGGGTTCTAGGGCCCATTTTTGGGAGATAGGGGGAAAATAGACGCACTGTTCCCTAAAGAGCATGACGTAAAAGTCAACTATTTAGCAATGATTCCTTCAAAGTTGGGAAAAAGTTTAGGGAGGGGATGGGGGGGGGGGGGGTGGACATCTGCCTGAGAAATAAGGAACCTCAAGTGTGCATAAAAATAAGCCAGTCTACAGCAAAGAAATCATCATCGTGAGGTGCCTTGCCGACTGGCGTGGGCGATCATGCCTCTCCATTATCCACAATCTCTTACAGCATGTATCACACACCTCCATGCCATGCAGCAAGACTGTCAATAATCTTTTCTTGTTGTCTTCTTCTATCCCTCTTTCCACAGATCTTTCCAGTGGTCACAACATGTTCTCTCTTTACCATAATATGGACAGACCAGAGCAAGTCATTATCCTTCGCCTTAGAACAGGGCACAATCGACTTCGCTGCCACATGTACAACAAATTTAATCAGCCATGTGTACTTGTGGACTGGCACCTGAAACAACAGATCACATCCTTCAAGACTGTCCCAGATTCGACGCTTTCTGGCAAAACCTTTGGCCAAAAGAGACACTTGTGGAAGTCAAACTTTACGGGCCGCTTAGTGAATTACAAAAGACAGTGAAATTCATACTAGAGACAGCATTGCAGATATAGATAATTTATTTCATGCGAACGAAAGAAGAACAACATGTTCTATTTTCCCTCATCTCATAACATGGCTAAAAATTATGACTGTCTCCTTCAGATGTCTGTGATAAGTTATCTTCGGGCTCCTGCCTCTTTCAAAACCTCTTCGTTGCTCTTTTTGTTTGTTCAAGGTATTCTAAGCATTCTTCTGTAAAACCACATCTCTGAGGCCTTAAGTAATTGTTTGGCCTACCTACCGATTGTCCAGGGTTCACAGCCATATGCTAAAACTGGATGTATATAGCAAACAAGAATTCATTTTCTAACTCTCAATGACAAGGATATATTGCACAAAATGTTCTTCATTTTATAAAATGCTGTTTTTGCCTTGCCTTATTCGTTTCTTATTTCAGTTATGCATCTTCCATCTGACGTTATCCATGTGTCCAGATACTTAAATTTCTGTAGTTGTCCCAAAATATCACCATCGACTTTTAATACACATTTAGGAATAGTTAGTTTCTTTGATACCACCATTACTTCTGTCTTCCCATTATTCAAACTGAGGCCCATTCTTCCACTTTCTAACACCACAATGTCTATCATTTCCTGTAGTTCTTTCTGACTTGTTGCTATCAAGACTGTGTCATCAGCATAACGTAAATTTTTTATATTGTGCCCAACCACAATTCCGGGCATATCAATTAAAGATCTCATTATATATTCACTGTATATTGAAAATAAATCAGGTCACAGTACACATCCTTGTCGTACGCCCTTCTTTATGCTTTTGAAATGTACCTAAATAGTTGTTAATTCTTATAGCTGCTGTTTGCTGCCAATACATATTCTTTATTATTCGTAGATCTTTTCCATAAATTTTTAATTTTTCTAACAATTTGATTACTATAGCAAAGACGTGCATGCAAAAAACACAAGTTCTGGGGGGAAAAAAAGAATAAAGTCAAGAAGTAGACAAACAACCACAACCTTTTGCTGGAGTTTACAGCCTGGTTGATAATAATACTAAGAAGAAAAATAAGACTTATTTGCCACAAATTATTGCTATCTTGAATACGCTAGACATCATACAATATTGCAAGTGAGCTTTACTTGAGCAGACATCACAATCAACTCTCTGACATAAACATGTAGACTGTAGATGTATTCTTGTTAGTTGGTCTTTCCTTGTGGGCATAGGGTAGAGGTCATAATGTTAAATGTCTGGCGGTTCATTGCCATCTGCTTTAGGTCTTGGATGTTCGTTAGGCCCAATCCCCTTGATACTGACACCTTAAAATCTTAAAGATCTGAACATCAAGAACAAAAAAAGCCTGGTAAACAGCATCAGTTCTCGTTATGCCTAGTGGCACATGAGGCTTCAGAGAGGACTTTCTATGCTTTCCTGTCCTGTGCAATCTTCAATGCAGTTTTCCATGTCAAAGATGCCGCACTGAGGTCATTTCCATCGTTCGTCTCCATGTTGTTTTTGGACGCCCCTGTTTTCTCTTTCCCTCTGGTGTCTATGTGAGAGCTGTTTTGGCAGGTATATCAGAAGTTATTCTCATAACGTGGCCAAGCCATTTCCATCTTCTCTTGGTAATCATACTGTCTAAAGTTTCTTGGTTTGTGGTTTGAAGTAGTTTAGTGTTTGAGATTGTATCTGGCCAGAAAATTTTGATAATTCTACGTAGACATGTGTGGTGGAAGGTGGACAGCTTGTGTGCATCCTTTTTGGCCATTCTCCAGCATTCCGCTCCATAGAGAAGAACTGGCAAAATGATGCTCTTGTAGAGTCGGAGTTTCGTTCCTCTGCAGTAATTGTTGGATTTCCAGATTTGCCTCACCCTTCCAAAAGCAGCTCTAGCTTTGTTTAGACGTGACTGTATGTCTTCCGCTGTCCCTCCCAGTAGGTAAACAGCATCTTTTCGTTTAAATATTTTGGCCACATCAAATGCCACAGGGGATTGGAAAACAATGGTAGCAGTTGGCATGGTACCAGGAAAGAGGAGCAGGGACCGACCAACACTAAGATGGATACAGGATGTTGGAGACATCTTGGGTAGGAAAGTGCACGAGGCAGGGAAGGTGATTAGAGACCAAATTTCTTTCAGGTGAGTTGTGATGAGAGCGACGTTCTGCAAAAGACAAGCTACGTGATGTTGAATAGTTTTGAAAGAGAGTATGGCACAAAGTCAACCTAATAGAAAATACGAGAACGAAACAATAATCACGGGGGAAGGAAGCGGCATATTACGCATAGGGAATAACCGGGAGACTGGGACAGAAACTAAAGGAAGACATGCGAATTCATCCTCTCCGTGTGGGAACCTGGGCCCCATTATAGGGAAACAAGAATCGACCCACTATCTCCTAAAAAGCATAATTAAGGCGTTTCCTTTGAAGTCGTAGCACATCTGCTCGAGAGGCGAGCAACCGCCAGCCTGCATATTAAAAAAGTCAAATCTGTAAAACGAATGTGCACATACAAAACTCAACGTCTGAAACAAGACAAAAGTCCAGGAGTGGACGAACAACCAAAATTTTCCGCCAACGCAAAGAAGGAGGAGGAGAAGAAGACGAATGAGAAGAAAAAGGAGTATATTCTTTTGTAATATCATGGAAAGGTGCCACTTCACGAATTGGTAAATAACTAAATACTGTGCAGTCGAAGAAGCAGCTGAGGATAATGAATATCTAAAGCATTTTATTTATTGTTTGTTACTGGGCTTCCTCCTGTGAAAAAAAAAAAGGTGCCGGTACTCGCCATAAAAGTGTGGCGATACTCACTACAAAGTTATCTAAAAGAGTAAGAGGGGGGGGGCGGGGGGGGGGGGGGGGGCGGTCAACATAAGGAGTCTAAAATAAAAGGTGCCGGTACTCACCACCAATGGTTTCGAAAAATGGTGGCGGTATTATTTATATTAGATTACCAGATGCGTAGTAAGGGTTGTGTCATCCCTTTGTTGGGGGGGGGGGGGGCGCATTAATATTTTTTTTTTGTTACTGTAAATTTTTTCGTGGTGTGAATGAAAATGGCGAGCCCGGTGATGAGAAAACGGGGGAATCAGGATCGTTGTCGCCAATGCCAGGCAGGGGGCGTTACTCTATCCTATGTGTCATTTGTGTATACAAAATGGCAGAATCACAAGACAGAGCTTCGGATGTTAACTCGCAAAGTAATCTTTTTGCTCATTCCGCCGATTCATAATGAAACCATAACAAATCTGCAGAATAATTTTAACAATACACACATATATCGCAAGCTTTCGTAGACAAATAACTGTTAACAGATTTGTATTAAATTATTAATACTTTAATACTTAGGTGTTGACAGCTGTGTGTTGTTTACAGTTTACAACTGCTGTCTTACTCTTTAGAGATATTATTACATGGTGAGATCCCAGTTTTTTCCACGGTAAGACTCACTTACCACTGTATGAAAACTACGGGAAGTGCTTTTAGATCCTTTCTTTAAGAGTTACATCTTCGTGTGTGTTTTGTGTTCACTTTTAGTGGGGGAGGGAGGGTGAGTGACCAACCGCCTCAAAAAACAAGTTTGTTGCAAGAGGCGACTAAATTGGTATTTGCTGAATTCAGATGTGTTGGGCTAAAAGATGCATACATCACAGCCTAGCTGCACACCACATAACTATGTGGATATAGTTTTAAAGGGAAATGCAGAAAAGACACATGAGTAACATAAACACAGCAAACTGATGACTCAAAGTTGTAGTAAAGCTGATGCTTATGTTCCACTGCAGGGCTTTTCAAACAGTGACCCATATGCCAAATCTGTGCAAATGGCTCACGGATGATTGCCATGTGTATTGTATTAATGATCTCTCTATCCTGGGGCTTGAGCTTCTGGCCTATGATGATTCCGTTTTAAAAATATTGGCCCCTGAGTTAACCTAATTGAATAGCCCTGTTCTATTTGATCTTACCAGATAAGCAGCCTGTGGAGGAGACAGTAAATAACAACCCCACTTTCGCCCCACCACCAGACGTGGTTGAACTTTGCAGAGAAGCCTTCCAGAAAACTGCAGAGTATCTCAGAGGAGAGTTGGATGGTAAAGCAGTAATCTTCCTTTGTCTGTGAATGACTGCCTTTCTGTAGCCCTTCTTCTTCTTCTTTTGCTTCTTCTTCTCCTTTACCTTCCTCTTCTTCTTCTTCTTCTTTTTCTTCATAATAATAATAATTATTATTATTTTCTTGCGCTCTCATTATATTAATCAGTTGATACACATATTTTTTAATGCAAATTTTTTTTTGGCATTCATTTTTAATTACTAACATAACCTATTCTCAAGTGCTGCAGCCACCTTACATAGATATCACAGTGAGAATCCTAGCACAGTTTCTAGACTGTAGAACCAATGATGGTCCACATTTGTTTGATCTCACTCACATGTGCTGTCAGGAACATCATTTTCTTATAATTTTGACTTGAGAAAACTTTGTAATTTAATGAGGGCAATTATTCAGATTTCACACAAGAATACTTTAGGGTTCAACCAATCAATTGACAGTTTTCTTTTGCATCTAGGTTATGGATAATTTTAAGTGTAAGGGTTTCCCATCAACTAATAAAAATATACATTTGGATAACTGTGTGTGTGTTTATTGGGGGGGGGGGGGGGGGGGAAGGCAGTAAATGTAGCCCTTTTGATTTCTTTTTATTTTCCAACTGCTGAGAAAATGTTATTGCATGCATGTACAGGTCCTCAGAGTTTTTGGCTTTTTGTGTGAAGGTAGAAGTTCTTCCCCAAAACCCTGCTGCCCTGAAAAATGGTAAATACATGCAGTCTCTTCTTCTTCGCACTCACCGGCTGTAAACTCGGACAGAAAGTTTTAGTTGTTTGTCCATTCCTAGACTTTAGTCTTGTTCTAGAACGTTTGCATGATCATCCGTTCTACAGATCTGTCTTATTGGCATGCAGACTGTTGGTTCTTTGCCTCTCAGACAGATACTCATCAACTTTGAAGAAAACTCCTAATTAGTTGACTGTTACGACATGCGTGTTAGATAGCCAGTGGGTCTACCCCACAATGGGGCCCAGGAACCGACACAGGGAACTGCATGCAGTAAAGACATTTAATTAACTGTTTTCTGAAATACATTTTATTTCTTTTAAAACCGAATCAAGGCACTATTGAAGATTACAAGCTGCTGGAGAAGATGAATCAGCTGACAATGGGCAAATACTCCGAGATGAAACATATCGCCCTCAGCATCAGTGGTGCTCTCAACGATCTGAGTGACAAATGTAGGTTGTAGAGGGTGTTTATATTTACAGTATAGTCATCATCATCATCATCAAGTAGCAGTTCCTTTGCAGAACGTCGTTCCCATCACAGTCTGCCTGAAAGAAACTCAGTCTCTCGCCAGCTCTCCCACCTCGTGCACTTTCATACTCAAGGAGTCACTTATATCCTGTGTCCATCTTCGTGTTGGTCGGCCCCTGCCCCTCCTTCCTTGTACCTTTCCCTCTGCTATTATTGTTTCCAATCCGTAGTGGCGCTCAATATGAAACAATATTTTAGTTTCCGAGACATGATGCTGTTTATTAGCCAATCTTCCTTGATGTTCAGAGACAGTATAGTATAGAACTGAATTAACTGCTTCTCATAACCATCTGAAAACCACAGAAAGTGCTTCATAACCATCTGAAAACCATAGGAAGTGCTTTTCAAGTGGGTTCTGGTGATACGAAGATAAGTGATATTGTGTATTTGTGTAGTATTGTCTAATCTATGTATGTGCTGAGGAAGGCTCTATAACTGCGACATTCACATTTTGTTTGTGTTTGTTATATTATGAAGCTCGCTGATATACTTTTCGTTCGGTTTTATATCTTTCTAAGAATCATATGAGATTTGGGTATTTAGAGTCTGCCATTGCTTCCTTTTCTTATCTCCATTTTGGTCTGAACAAAGCTAGAGCTGCTTTTGGAAGGATGAGGCAAATCTGGAAATCCAACAATTACTGCAGAGGTACGAAACTCCGACTCTACAAGAGCATCATTTTGCCAGTTCTTCTTTATGGAGCGGAATGCTGGACAATAACCAAAAAGGATGCACGCAAGCTGTCCACCTTCCACCACACATGTCTACGTAGAATTACCAAAATTGGCCAGATACAATCTTAAACACTAAACTACTTCAAGTCACAAACCAAGAAACTTTAGACAGTATGATAACCAAGAGAAGATGGAAATGGCTTGGCCACGTTATGAGAATGAATCCTGATATACCCGCCAAAACAGCTCTCACATAGACACCAGAAGGAAAGAGAAAACAGGAGCGCCCAAAAACAACATGGAGACGAACGATGGAAAGTGACCAGAATGTGGCATCTTTGACATGGAAAACTGCACTGAAGATCGCACAGGACAGGAAAGCATGGAAAGTCCCCCCTGAAGCTTCATGTGCCACTAGGCATAACGAGAACTGATGATTTTGGTCACTGAAATCTCTGTTGGCTGCTGAGGAAAAGGACCGAGCATGTTTAAGAATGTCTTTGCTGTAGTGATGTCAGTTCATGTTTCATTCTTCAACCTATCATTCCTCACGTCCTCAACCAGTTCATGCCAAGTCCTTCTGTTCTCTGTTATCTCCTACAGTTACACTGAAAACCTAGTTTGCTTGAGCATGACACAGATGCCATACCCTCCGATTTTCTTCAGTGTATACTAGTTGACTAGTTTTATCTCTCATGCTCTATCATCATCATGATAAACCACATTAGCTGTTAAGCACTGTGGCAAGGAATAATTTCCGATCCAGTGCACATTAGCTGGCACTGGCTATTGTCATGTCACAAAAGCGTAACATGTCTTTCATATTGTCGATCAATATTTTTCATGGCAGTCCTCTTGCTCTTGTAGCCGATCCTCTGAGATGTAGTCCCTAAAATGGTATTTCATGCTGCTGCATTCTAACAAATTGGCCAAACCACCTGATCTGCTGTGATTTGCAAGACGCCTGCATTTAAAATAATCTACAACATATGTTTCTCCTATGCAAATTGCTGCACAAAACCTGAGCAGTAATGTAGAGACTGAGTGTTGCTCCTGCAGCATGATCCCTCTCTCAGCCTGGGTTATTTACTTCCTAGGAAGAGTAAGACCAATAGTTTTGGGGAAAAAGTATGCTGCAGAAGCTGCCGGATCAACAGAGCAGTAATCTTGTCTATCAGAGTGTCCCTCCTAGACCAGCTGCCAACTAAGGCTAAGGGCCTGGTCTGCCTTGCTGCAACACTAAGTTTTCAGGTTGTATTTCTTCATCCTAGAATAAGGCTAGTATCCTTCCCAGTGCTTTACTTTGCCCGAAGCTGTGGTTACAGGTATGTTTATCTTGCTGATTAGTTATTAAATAAAACACTGCAGCTCTGAATTGGATAGCAGAAAACAAAGTTACCAGAGGAATTATTGTGTGATTCTCAGTCGGCACTGCAGAAGGTTCAAAAGGGACTAATGTGGCACTAGTGGATACCAAGCATCAGCACGCTAACATTGCAGGGAATCACATGAATATACTGTCCAGGGTATGTAGGAGTGTGAGGGAATGAAAGAGCGGATTTTCTGGCTACAAAAGCAAAAGCTACAGACATACTTAAACTGGACAAGGATGATAGTGAGAAGACCATATATGAACGAATGTTGAAGAAGACATGAGATTAGATGAAATAATGTGTGCACGAATGTGTGAGCGAGGAATTAGGAGTGGATCTGGCAAGGAAGGATGTTTGAGAGGAAGAGAATGATGTGTGTATAATCAGTTTGCTATGGGAACTGTACAGTTAGCATCTACATCTTAAGACATTTGCTGCGGGAGACGGAGCATCTATGGGTATGCTGGTGTGCTGTGATGTGGATTCTTAAATCAGTAATCAGTATTGAATAAAAATTAAAAAATATTTAAAAAATGCTTTAAAACTAATAATTTAAAAAATCGGATTTAACACAAGTAATTAAAAAAAAAGGTTTAAAAAAAAATTGTATACCTACCTAATTTTTTTTAAAGAATATAATGCCATAAAGCTATTTCTGATCTGATAAACAGATAAAAGTCTGCAACCTTATCTGGAGCAGATAGACCAGATAGAAGAAAGTGTCACAGCCTTAGAACAGGCAGCCTACGGACTGGACCAATACTCAAAACGTTTGGGTGAGTGGATTGTGGTATTTCTTTCATCAATTGTGTACACAGGTTTTGTCCTTCTTGGCAGGAATGTTACTGGTCTAGTGACCATAGCCATAGTCGCTGTATTTTGATCCTCTGTCTTCGACCGGGCAACTTGAGACCGTGATCAACAACTGCCTGTTGGTGGCTCTCAAGTTCAATCTGCTGCCATGATTTCACATTATCTTGACCACATCACCTATGAAGTGTTCTTCTTCTTCTTCACCTTCACTTGCTGTAAATGCCGGCAGAAAGTTCAGGTTGTTCATCCACTTCTGGTCTTTAGACTTGTTCCAGAGCCTGACTGTTGTGTGAACACATCCGTTTTACAGACCTGACTTATTTGTATGCAGACTGCTGGCTCCTTGCCTCTCAGGCAGATGCACTTCGACTTTAAACCCCTAATTAGTTGACTCTTATGACATGCTTGTTGGGTAGGCATTCTTGTTTACCCCTCAATGGGGCCCCGGAACCCACATGGGGACCATCAAGTGCTGACTTATCTATAGAACTTTAGGATTAGCACCATATGTCCAGTGGGAATCAAAGTGTGGAAACATCCCCTTTGCTTTACTCAATCCACCTGTATTACTTCAGTACTCAGTGAACATGAAAGATGATTATAAATATTCAGATTAACCCTTTCATCCCATAAACACTAATACTGAAGGAAAAAAAGGTCATGACACCGTGGGAATTCCTAAAAAAATTCATTTAAAAAAAAATCAAGTGTACACAGATCTCTAATAAAGTATAAATATTTAAAGTTTATTTTACATATTTTCCAAATATATAAGGATATATAAAGGAAATGTCGGCTCTATAGCTAAGTCGATGCAAACACTTCGTAATGTCGGGATGCCGGGTTCGACCCCAGCTGCGGGCCATGCGCCTTGTGTTGGTTTCAACAGTGGTATCAAGAAAGCTGACTGTCCAGAAAGCAATGGCAAACTACTGGACTTAAATTGTCTAGAAAAACCACACAACAGCCAGGGGCTGTTGGGGTTGATTCTGCAACGTCCTGCAAAGGATACGCAACTAACCTTATGTAAAGGAAATAAACATGAAGAGAGAGAAATGTTAAATAAAATACATCCTCTAGGTCCTGATAAAATGTGAGTAAATATATCCGGTGACTTATGCTGTGACCACGTGACATCTGTCACTGAGATTGCAAGAAAACTTGGTGACAGATTGGCTTGATAAAGCCATTTGGTTCACAAGACCTGGCCAGTGCTATTTTTAGTAAACATGTAAATAACTTCTCCTTGTAAAAGCTGCACAGGCACATATACAGCCAGTAGCATTAACTATCTTTCTCATAGACACATAACTAGGAAAGTTGCTGAAGTGACTTTTACGTTTAGTTAGACCCAGTAGTATGTGTCGGTTTTATGGTTTCTCTGTGTGATTGGGTTAATACTGATGACATCACATATCATCATCAACAATTTCCACTTCTGCCATTAAGCACCGTGGGAGAAGGAACAGTCTGATATCCATTGCTTGATGGACAGCAATGGCCTTTGTCATTCTGTGTCAGTATAGAAGCTCTTTAATGTCCTCAAGACAGAGTGAGGCAGATTTGCATCCTGGAGAACATTAGGTGAGGATAGGAGTGGGTCAAGATGCCAGCCAAATAGTCAGGTTTGTGTTGAGTCATAATTACTTTGAGTCTGGAGTATAGAGAGTGGCCAGCAGGTGCCCAGAGGTGGAATTTCAAGAGCGAATTTAAGATAATTCTTGCTCAGAGGATGTGGCTATTTATACAGACTGTTCAGTGTCAAGAGGCAAAAAAAAGTGTTTGAGGTTTCTTAGCAAAAGTTATTGGGAAACATTTGGTGCAGGAGAGCCTAGCATATGATACCACAACATCCAGCTTAAGAATGGAGATGGAGGCGGTCATTGCAGCTTTCTGCTGGTTAGAGAACACAACAGACATACACATCACGATTATAACTGACTCAGAAAGCATGCTGAGGAAGGTCAGGACAGGCATCCTTCGCTCAGAATGGCATGCTTGACTGCGTAGGTCACGGGTGAGGAGTATTGTCTGGATCTTTTCTCCAAGGCATGCCGTTGTGTTGGGACATGAACAGGCAGACAGACTGGATGGCTCTGCACAGCTTGCTGGAATATTGATTGATGGAACCTTTGACTTTATCCACTTAAACATTTGTTGGCCAAATTCAGTTTCATTAGCTGAGTCAGAAAAACATGGAAAGATATCCTTTTTTAGTCGAAATTTTTTTAAACTGGGTCACTCATTAGCTGAAATATCATTATAATCACCTGATCTTTCTTGTAAGCACTGAGAGTCATGAAAGGGGAATGACTAAAGCAAAGGACATGTTTCCATGTAGGCATGTTATGATTCTGAAGCATTGTGACAGCTGACAAATTTGATGGGTAAAGAGTAAGGAGTAGACAACGATACATTTTTGGATGGCTTGGCCATTCAGGACAGAAACACAGACTTGTCTTGAGAGTTAGGTGATCATATGAGGTGAAAAACCATGTCTACTCGTGCTAATAGTTATGGCATATAGTGATGGTGTTTCATAGATTGGGGAAAACCTAGATGTATGATACCTGATTCTGATGCAATATGTTCTATTTTTATTTCAGAAAACAAATTTAAAGCACTAGAAAAGAGATGAAGACACCACCGGCAAAAGAATGGATGTGCAATAACAGTTTTTGTTTGCAAAAGATTCTTGTACACGCCTTGAAAAGTCTCTTAGACTTCAAGTTTAAAATGCACATCTCCACACATAGAAGTAATTGGGGCCTCACTACACATTATTACCAAAGCCAGCTGCGGGAGTGCTGCGACAACTTTAACTGTAGAGATAGCACATTTCTTTTCAGTGTTTAGATGTAAACTATACACATGGTCAATGATGTAAATATTTGCTCATTATGTGTTCATTTGGCAGTTCAATAAATTATTGATGTTCCTGGTTCTTGTATTTGGTTTCGGTAGTTTTTGTGTTGAGATACAAATACATTTTTGAATTTGAATTTTCAATTAAAAATCAACATCACAGCACTCAGGACACCCCAAAAAGTGCTCCGTCCCCATCTTCAGGAGCAAGCAAAGAGTAAAAATACAAATAAGTGTGAACTTACCTTTGTGGTCATCATCATCATCACATCTTGATTCAGTGCTGTTTCTACATTGCAAATAAGATTTAAAGAGCATGTAGCATGATTTGTTGTGTGTCTTCATTGGTGCTTGTTGGCTTCTTTCAGTCCATCTGTTGATGTTGTCCAGACACATGTAATATTGTTCTTCTCTTACACAGTCATAAAGGGCCCTTTTCCACGACTTCAGATGTAGTGGGGTTTTAGTGCTAGATTTATATTTTGTAGACTCATCTGCCCTCAGTGGGTGATGTGGTCAGCATCATGCTGGCCACCTTTACTTCCTAGGACTTTACCTGGCACTCATTTAAGGCTGGGTTGACCTGGGAGCCAGGGTTATTTTTTTAAAAGTCAGGCTCTTTACCCACTGGCCGTTCATCACATTAGCATGATAGAATCAGTAATACATAACTTAATGAGAAAAGATATAAAACCGAATGAAAAGTATATTAGCAAGGACCCAGTTTTAGTGAATGAAAGGCAAAGATTTTACGTTGTCACTTTTCTATATTTCCAGATAATAATGCCTTGAGATTCACAGAAGGACAATAGGTAGAATGTCTAGCTACCGGCCTCTTGGTCTTGTGTTTGAATCCTCACATATACTCAGAGAAAAATAGATAAATAAATAGATAGGTAGGTATACAGACAGACAGACAGAGAGTGTTAGGGAAAGATAGAAAGAGGAAGAGAGGTTTCTGACACTGACCTCGGCAACACAGCTTACCTAGCCTAAACAAATGCTAGGAGTGGGGTGTAAAGGTGGCCGGAGATACTGACCACGTCGCCCATAGAGTGGTTGATTAGTTTGTAAAAACGTGGGGCTTGTATCATGTACCAATTACAACTCAAGGTATAGTTGTTGGGCCTTTCGTGCAGAACCTAGTTTTATAAAATGGGTACCAGAGAGCGTTCTATGGAGATAACGTGATTTAGATGACACAGAAAGCCCTTTGGTCAAAAAACAAAACATGGACCAAGCCAATGCCTTCTCTAGATAGGCCATGGCGGTAACGTCATCAGGTCAATGATAGGTTCTATTTTCACTCTGACAGTCTTTTTTTTTTTTTAGTGTGTTTCCTGCTGTTCCCTGAGAACTCCACAAAAAATTGTAGGAATAAGCTAGAGGATAGAAAATGTTTATAGGTATATACACATATATACACACAGATGGCAGAGCTCTGGAAGCATTGTTTTCTTTAGAACAGGGCTATTTAACTGACAGCCCTCGGGCCACATCTGGCCCGCCGAGGCCTTGCAAGTAAAAGTTTGTTCCCAGTTCGTTCAAATAGCAAAACTCGCCTGTTTGAAGTCAAAGGTAATACGATTGGCTGGAAAGAATCAAATAACTGGTAGGAAAGCAACCTCTCCATTGAACAGTCAATGAAGGTGAGATATTTATTGGACAGGAGGGCATACAGAAAAACTAGCACGGTCCTTAGAGTTAAAACTTAAGATTACAGAAAAGCTCTTCTTAATGGTGGCCACTAGTACACACAAACTAATGAAATTGGGTGCTGCAGAACATCAGTGACACTGGACCCCGCAGAATACCTGCTGGTGATCTTGTTATCAGATTATAATAAGATTTTACGGTAAGGTCCAGTCACTTTCTAGTTACAGTCAGATGTAGATTGCCGGACGCGATTGTATAGTAACAAACTAAATCGGTAACAGTGTTTTGAATTATCTACTTTTAATAATTTAGTTAAATGCTTGATGCCATGGCTAGCATTAGTAAGAAAGCAAAGTGGGAATGTGAAAATCGTGCATTCTACAGTGACTGGACACTGAAATATTTAATTGTATCACCAGCTATGCCTAATTCGGAACCAGTATGCTTGCTCTTTTATTTCTTCACCACTGGACTCGGCAAACTTAACTGATCAAATGATATAATTATTTTAAAAAGCTTCACAATAATTTCAACAACAGATTTGGCGACTTCAATTTCTCAAACAATGTAATGTTATTCGTTCGAGATCTGCTGGCGATTTTTCTTCCAGTGCTAAGAGGCTGTTATCCTCTGTTGATGAAGGTCCTCTGCAGTTAGAACTTGTGGATATGCAAAGTTCTAGCGCGGTGATTTCGGTCACAGGCATGAGGCAAAGTTAAGTCTGATGTGAGGTGTATAAGGAGATACTACGTACCCCACACGGGCGCCAGTCCTTCACTGTTCAGGTTTTACGGAACCTCATGCAAGACTCCTGCTGCACGTCCCCGTCGTGCGCCACGGATAATGTCTCAAATGAGCATTAACAGAGTTGGCAGGGGATCTCGGAGCTGGCGGCCCCTAGAGGTGTAGTGTCCTTTCTGGCTCTCACCAGCCCGCCCCCAAACGCATGGGTGAAAAGTCTAACAAAACTCAACAATTTCTTGCTAAATTTACCATCAAATGACAACTCTTGGTTAAAATTTCGGGAGCGAATGGAAAAACTGTGCTGCTGAGACTCAACCCTGACCGAGAGATTTACCCGCAGCCAAGACGAGTAACATCTCTTGTGGGCGACTTCTCGCAGCAAGATCCTACCTACGTACATCCTCAACCCTCAGTGTCGTCGTCACCGCGCTGAGGTACACCACGGCAGCAACTTTTCATATGCTGGCTTGGAAATAATGTCCGACAAAGTTATACCCCACGGAAAACATGCAAGCTCAAAGTCCGACGATCATAATTCGTACCGATTAGGAAAAGTCCGAATGTCCGTATCCACTGGTCCAACTCGCCCGAGTGTTGGGACCAAACAGGTGAAGCACCGCCTGACGCATTTAGCTTCCCCATTCTGTCGTGCTAAGGGCACAGCTGAAACAACATTAAAGGTGTCTAACGTAAGATGAAAAAGAATGTACCTATTTGTGTGGCCACAAACGTCCTAGACCTGCGGGCTGCTCCCCGCTGATCTCCGGAGAACGCAGCCTTGTAGCGCGGGAAGCTCAATACACGGTTGCGAGGTTAAGCAGTCATGGGCAGGACGTGACGATTCCTTGGGTGAGCCCAGAACCAGAGCATCATGTGTCGGCTCTGCATTTATAGAAGCCTCCTTGGATGGCGGGGAATGCCCATGATCTGCCCCTGCCTTCACTTGAGGGCTGAAAACTCTACATAGAGCTGCCTTAAGGACGACATTCCGGGGGGTACACCTGTTAAAAGTCAAAGAGGACACCACACAAATGAGGCAACATCTCGACCCACACAAAACAAAGGCAACCTAGAAATAGGCTTGACGTCTTCCTCCGAAGTCGGAGTACATCTGCCGGAGAGGCGGGGAACGAGAACTGCGAACAAATAAGCCAGTAAAACGGATGTACACGCAAAACTCAGGTCAAGGTAAAAGCCAAAAGTCCATTTTGGACGAACAACCGCGACTTACCGCCGGAATTACAGCCGGTGAACAAGAAGAAGAAAGAAGAAGAAGAAGAAGAAGAAAGAAGAAGAAGAAGAAGAAGAAGAAAGAAGAAGAAGAAGAAGAAGAAGAAAGAAGAAGAATGGAGATTTTCAAGAAAGTGGTACAGCCAAGTTTTGGTACACACACAAAAAAAAAAGATTCAACAGCAGCAGTTCCCTGATGCTAGAAAAGTTGCTGTATTCATACTCACCATATTTGGCTCAACTTTCACCTGTGAATCAATCTTTTCACACATTAATGTCATCAAGACAAAAAAAAAAAAAAACTGCAAATTTAATATCAAGCAGATTTGGAAAAAACATTCTTGATTATTGCCTTGGCACCCCTGAAATACGCTCGCGGCACACAGTTTGAGAATCGATTCGTTAACGCATTGTTACCCTGGTTTGGTGACATCAGCAGCATAGCCCGTCAGCTGGAGCCGGTCTTGACCCAGCATAAGGTGACCATACGTGCTGTTTCCAGGGCTGCCAATGCTTGGGTTTCCCCAAAGATCTGAGTTTTTAAATGACGCCTTGGGTTCAGATTTTGAAATCTTGGTTTAAAAAAAAATTATATCCTTAAATAAAAGTTTGTAAATGTTTCGTTTCGTAACTATAAAATTAGTACTCTTTTTCCATGTTGGGTTTTTCTTTGCCTTTGTATTGCTTGGGGTTTTGGTCAGCTTATCTTAGGTTTTGATAAAAATCCAATTGGTAGCCCTGGCCGTTTTCACCGGGAGAGTCCCTAGAAATAACTACAGTGGTTCTGTTTATAAAAGTCTAGGGAAAAGCTAGACAATACCAGATACACTTGAAGTTAGATCCGGGGACATTATTAGATTCGATAGTCTTAGATACTTTTATTGCCTGAAATATATTTATGGGAATTTTCATTGTAGCCTGTTTTTCTTTTCCCCACAACAACGTCAAGCATGACAATGGAAATAGCCGCTGCTTCTAGAGCTTTAAAGTGGGTATCCGAGCAAACCGCCACACAGGCAGTAATTGTCTCAGACTCAATGAATATGCTTCAGAAGATAGCAACAGGCAGTATGCGCCCTGAATGGATAGAAAGCATTCGGAAATCGCACTTAACCTCCGTAATGTGGATCTACACACCGGGTC